GTAACCAAGAAGTTTAAAGTAAGGAGAGCTGTAAACAAAAAGTTCCTGAGAAAATGTGACACCAAACCTGTTGAAAGTTTCACTAAATTAAAAAAAATGTTGTGCTACATAAAAAAATTAGGATTCGGATTAGAGAGAAAAAAACGCGTCCTTGAATCTGTAAACTGGGTTTCTTGGAAATCATTACTAAGAACACAAGAAGCCTTCAGCAATTTTTAATAAAGTTCAATAATAACATTAAAGATTGTTTGTATTTTATTTAAATCAAGAAACTAGCAATGATCTGACAAAACAAAAATACTTATTAACGACGCAAATAAAAAAATTGTTTTTGTTTTGTATTGCCGGAAAGAAATCCTGTAGATGTCTATTATTAGTATTTTATCAAACACAACCTTTAACAGGGACAAAAGAGGTTGTTTCAAGGAAATCAACTATACAGAGGAATATATTCGATTAGCAACTTTACCCTTGAAAGCTTTGTACAATTAATATCAACGAGATATCCATAATCTTTCTTTGTCGATCGATGATTGACAATTGTGGATTCTTTTTTTGAATCGACTTCTGCAAATCTGCTTCAAAAATGATAGAGAAATGTTAAAGCTCGCAAAATGACAATATCTTCCATATTATTGATTTAATAATAAAAATTGAAAAGTACCATTGTAATTTTTTAAACGGAAGATTAGTTAGCATTGTTAAAATTATTATAAAAGGCTTGTAAGTATCTATTCATAAAATGCTGATACAGCTTTTTATTAAAGCTATAATTCTAACGATATAATTCCATTCTTCTGAAAGATTGAAAAAATAAGTTGCAGAATGGTTAATTGACATCGAATCTATTCAAGTAGAAATATATTCACGCTGAATATTCAAAGCGTTTAATATTTGCATTGCAAAGCGTGAACAAATTGCATTCAACTTTAACAAAGAAGAATTCTAAGGGGACAATCGTAAATTTAGGTTTTATAACTTGAAAATTGCTCTAATTAATGATTTCTCCATTGTTTCTGAAGCAAGAAATGCACAAGTTACTTTTTAAGACAAGTGAAAATAAACAGTTTCCAAAAACAAAAACATGGATATCTATGGGTACGGGCGGTACCGTTGTGCATTGGACTTGCCACTCCAGAAATGGTGGATAACTTGAAATTCCGTGCACACTGTACAGTCCCTTTAAAGGAAAATTCAAAATTATAGTTTAAAATAGCGGTTTGCGAGCATAATCTTATAAATCAATCTGATAACTATGCGAAGGAAAGGGCCATGTTCGTGCTCGTCTATTCCGTAGAAATATCAACAAAGTTGTTTCTAAAAAATCAGCGGGATACTGTTTTTACATTTTACTGTCACATTGTGAATATTTTCTGTTGAGTCTTGCGGTAACAATCCATTCAAAGTATTATTAATTTATGCAATCAACTTTTTTGTTTGAATCAAGTCCCACGGGCAGCCTTAGTACATTTAAATTTCCGAACTGGGTCAACTTTTCCGGTTCTAGCTTGTACGATACCCAGAGCTCTATGGATAGGACTAGCCAGTGCAACAAGGTTGACGCGGTCAGACTTTATGCTTCATGTAGGTTGAATTTACTTTCACTACAGGGGCAATTATTTTGAAGTAGTAATAGCACAGCTACGAAATAGAGGTGAAGAAAATAAAAATTTAAAAAAAATGCAAAGGGACTGTGTACGCTATTTCAAGTTACCCTCCATTAATATGTGACATGTCCGTATAAAGAAGAGAAATATTGACCCTATAAAGGCTGGGGACTGAATCTGCCTGGGGGGACTTTTGTCGCCCCCCACCCCCTAAAAAAGGCCTTAGAGAATAGATAAAGGGTTGAAATGCATGTTCTTAGCCCAATTTTTCAAGGCCAGCTCATAGAACAAAAAAATTAGACTGATAACTCTAATTGTTTGGGCGCTAAGGAAGGTTGAAGAAAATGCCAAAGAAAGGGTAAAAAAATGAAGAAAATTTTTTTTAAAAACAAATATCAATCTGTGACACATGTTTCTACATGAATTTGTCAAGGGCTTTTTAAAAATATAGTTTTTAGATCTGTATCTTTCGTCACAAAAAGTTATGGGCTATTTTAGAGTTTTTTTCACAGGCCGGACTTTTTTCCGCCCTGTAAATTAAAAAAAAGATTTTACAAAAAATCCTTTAAATTACTATTCATTAAAAGTGACGGTGATAGTGTTAAGATGATAGTGCTAGGACAAAAAAAAACTGCAGAGGGGCGCCAAACGCCACCCCCCCACCCACAAGCCTGTTTAGGGTTAAAAACTTTTTATGATAAAGAATGAATAAAATATCCGTGTATTACCCTTAAAAATGATTATTTTCGAATGCGGTCTCTTTGAAAATCATGAGGGGATTTTTGTTAGAATTAAACCAAACTACCTATCTACCAACCTACCTACCTACTTACCTACCTACCTACTCACCTACCTACCTACCTACCTACCTAATAAACTATCCTCAAAACCATCAACCTACATACCTACCTAGCTATCTAGCTACCTACTTATTTAACTATCTACCTATCTACCTAACTACCCATCCACCCTAACTACCCACCAAAAATATTTGACTTTCTACAGTTTATTGATTTTAAAAGCCTAGTGTATGAGTATATTACAGTGGTAAACAGTTAAACTATTAATAAACATTGGGTTACATCAATCTAGTGAGAAGTTTTTTATCTCAAGGTTTAAACACCACTAGTATTCATTATTTACCCTTTACCTTTACCACAAACTATTGTGCATAAACATTCATTATCACCTTGAATTGCAGCTGTAATGATAGTTTAAAAATTATTTATTATTTACACAGGGTTACTCACAAAAGATGAGAGTTTAACGACGACGTTAAACTCTTGTAATTTGACATTAGCAGGTAAAAATAAAATGTTGTCTTAATGTCTAGTTTTAGGATTTGATAACATGAGGCAAAGAAAGCTTTAAGGAGCCAGAGGCCGAATTTAAAGAATTTGAGCCGCAGCTTTAATTTGACACGCGGCTCAAATATGGTTGGTTCCATTTAAAATTGTATTCAATTTTTCAAGATTTAAGCCTGCTCTCAATTGAACCCATTTTTTGGCGGACTTGAGATGCGGCTCAAATTCATTAAATTCTGACTCAGACATGTAAGAAATGAGATCGAGAAAATGTCTTAGTTTCTTCATTTGTGGGTTACACTATATTTTTAGATGTAAAAAGTGATAACCAGAAAATTGTAGAACAGGAGGACGACATGAAAGCAAAACTGAGGTGCATTTGATGTTGTTATAAGGCATATGTATTAAGTGAAATTGGTCTATTTACACTTTTGTTGTCGGAAAGGAACAAGATTCTGACGATGAACAGATAGACAACGGAATAACCCTCAAATCAAAATCGATAATGCAGAAAACTCTTCATTTCCTAAAAAAAATTAAATGAATAATGATAAATAATTATTACAATGGTTTACGAATTTATAATGAAAAGATTCTTACGATCTATTAGAGTATTTGTGGGTTAAACTGTCGGGGAGTCCTAAGACGCTTTTTTATACATTAAAACTTCTGAAAAGAGTGAAAATTAAATGTTAAGGAAAGTCACTAATTCTTTATATGAAAATATTCTTAACTTTGAAGTGGTTCACAATTAATAAAAGTGTTTATACTCCGTTGTCGGAGAACAAAGAGAAGCGGGCTGAAATAGTTTGGTTTGGTTTCTCGTCTCCGAGAGGAGCTTTTAGGTTGAAGACGACATTACATGGAGGGGGGGGGGGGGGTCTTAATGTTAATGGTTGACAACTTTACAATTGTTCTGCTTCATGAGTCTAAAAGTCAACTTCCTATTCCCGAGTTTCATGGTTATTACTCTCTAATATAAGTTTAGACTTTTAGATTTTTTGATTGATTAAGAATGGAGTCTTCTTGTATAAACAGAGTTAGACCAGTAATCGTCATTATTAACTAAACTTGGCCAAATAAAATAACAGAGAAAACTTAGAAACTTGGTCACACTTCTAAATCGTCGTTCCTAGGGAACGATCATTATTTCACTGGAACGAACGGAACGAACGATAAAAAAGTAGAAACACGCTCAGCTAGCTCAAGGGTTGGGCATCGTTCCTGGGGAACGATCAATATTTCACTGGAACGAATGGAACAAACGATAAAAAAGTAGGAACACGCTCAGCTAGCTCAAGGGTTGGGCATCGTTCCAGGTGAACGATCATTCATTTAAGGAAACAAACGGAACGAACGATTGAAAAAAGTAGAAATACGCCCATCCCTACACATTTCTTTAATTGCTGAAATGTAACCTGAACTGATCTGAAAACTTTAGAATCGTGGATATCGAGATCAATGCTTAATTCTCTCTTTTCTTAATCTCGAAACTAACCTGATCTTGTATACTTGTATCCTGAAACGTGTATGAAATTCAACCAATCAGAGTTGCGCATCAGCAGCCAGGAAATTAAAAATTTTTCGCGCCATTTAAGATAAATATACAGAAATGGGAGTGATAATATAATTTTAAAACCCCGGTTTTTTATTTTTCTGTACTATATCTAAAAAGAGTGGATTAAGCAAGAAATTAAAATTGTCCACATTGGATATTCGGATCTGAATATCCAATAATGACACTTTCACTTTCCTGCTTAATCAACTCTTTTATATTATCATAAAATTCTACCAGATTCCGACCAATGAGAGTTCTCTCATGAAATGGCGGGCAAAATTTCAAATTTCCCGACTTCTGATTGGATGTTCGGTATTTCGCATTCGTTACTCCATTAATTGAATTTTACACATGTTTCAGAATACCAACTGCAGATTAAATAAATCTTGAGATTAATAAAAAGGAAGATTAAGCATTTTCTCAATATCCAAAATTCTACCGTTTTCTGCTTCATGATATATCAAATGCTGAAATACTAAAATTTACCAAATAATTTTAAAAATTTTAATTTTAAAAATAAAAACTTCAGATATAATAATGGGTTTAGCAGATCAGTTTTCAGACGAACAAATTGATGAGGTTAAGGTTAGAATAATTTCACTTAAAAACTTTTGGATGAGTAAGGGTGAGTATGAATGAGTATGGATGAGTTTGGATGAGTATGAATGAGTATGGATGAGAATGGGTGAGTATGAATGAGTATGGATGAGTATGGATGACCATGATATGTATGGATGAGTATAGATGAGTATGGATGAGTATGGATGAGTATGGATGAGTATGGGTGTGTAAGGATGAGTAAGGGTGAGTATGGATGAGTATGAATGAGTATGGATGAGTATGAAGAGTATGGATGAGTAAGAATAAGTATGGATCAGTATAAATGAGTTTGGATAAGTATGGGTGTGTATGGATGAGTAAGGGTGAGTATGGATGAGTATGAATGAGTATGGATGAGTATGGATGAGTATGAACGAGTATGGAAGAGTATGGATGAGTATGGATGAGTATGGATGAGTATGGATGAGTATGGATGAGTATGGAAGAGTATGGATGAGTATGGATGACTATGAATGCGTATGAAAGAGTATGGATGAGTAAGGAAGAGTATGGATGAGTATGGATGACTATGAATGAGTATGGAAGAGTATGGATGAGTATGGATAACTATGAATGCGTATGAAAGAGTATGGATGAGTATGGAAGAGTATGGATGAGTATGGATGACTATGAATGAGTATGGATGACTATGAATGAGTATGGAAGAGTATGGATGAGTATGGATAACTATGAATGCGTATGAAAGAGTATGGATGAGTATGGAAGAGTATGGATGAGTATGGATGACTATGAATGCGTATGAAAGAGTATGAAAGAGTATAAAAGATTATGGATGAGTATGAATGTCTAGGAAGCGTTTAACCTGTTCAAGAATTCTGATGAAAATATAGCGGAAGGTCAGATCATCACAGTTCTTAGGTAGCAATCATTCATTCAATAATTCATCCTTCCTTGCATATATTCATCCTTCCTTTTATTCTTCCTTCCTTTCTTTTTATTAATCCTTTCATCATTTCACCTATTCATCCTACCTTTTATCAAACTTATAATTTGTTGTATCGATATGATACATTTTGTTCCTCATTTAAAGAGACTTTAATATAAAGCGTAATTTCAAGTGACACTCAATGCGATTCTAGACGTACCCTTTAACCCTTTGATTAATTATTTACGGCATGGAAGGAACCCGGTTTTCTTTTCTTCTCTACACTGGTGTTTAAATTGGTGCAAACCTGGAGTGTACATTAGCCTACAGTGTGACTCAACGCAGCTGAAATCCTCGCATGAATCGCTGTGAATCGTTCAAGGGTACTGCTGTGAATCGTTCAAGGGTACTGATGTGAATTGTTCAAGGGTACTCCTGTGAATCGTTCAAAGGTACTGCTGTTAATCGTTCAAGAGTATTGCTGCTAATCGTTCAAGGGTACTGCTGTGAATCGTTCAAGGGTACTGGTGTGAATCGTTCAAGGGTACTCCTGTGAATCGTTCAAGGGTACTCATGTGAATCGTTCAAGGGTACTGCTGTGAATCGTTCAAGTTTACTGCTGTGAATCGTTCAAGGGTACTGCTGTGAATCGTTCAAGGGTACTGCTGTGAATCGTTCAAGGGTACTGCTGTGAATCGTTCCAGGGTACTGCTGTGAATCGTTCAAGGGTACTGATGTGAATCGTTCAAGGGTACTGCTGTGCATCGTTCAAGAGTACTGATGTGAATCGTTCAAGAGTACTGCTGTGAATCATTCAAGGGTACTGCTGTGAATCGTTCAAGGGTACTGCTGTGAATCATTCAAGGATACTCAAGTAATTCTTTCAAGGGTACTGTTGTGAATCTTTCAAGGGTACTGCTGTGCATCGTTCAAGGGCACTGCTGTGAATCGTTCAAGGGTACTGCTGTGAATCGTTCAAGGGTACTGCTGTGAATCGTTCAAGGGTACTGCTGTGCATCGTTCAAGGGTACTGCTGTGCATCGTTCAAGGGTACTGCTGTGCATCTTTCAAGGGTACTGTTGTGAATCTTTCAAGGGTACTGCTGTGAATCGTTCAAGGGTACTGCTGTGTATCGGACAGTGCCCTCGTACAAACCACTGGCAACTCCGGATCATTTCAAGTACACAAAGATTCAGTAGCTGCTTATAAAAAGTCTAATTTTGTAAGACAGGGTCGACTTTGAAGTGTCGCAACGCCTTTGACATTTGATTTTACCGCTCTAACTCAATTATGCTTTTCTGTATCCATTTCCATGTTTATTTTGCCATTTTAAAGCACTTGTTGTTAGCTTTGGTTTTGAAGAAGTAATTGGTGAAATTATCATCGATTTTTGTTTGACTTTGCTTAAACTAGTGAAATTTATACGCATTAGAAGGTCACTTGAATTAGAGTATAGGTATGAAGGTGCAATCATGTTCATAGTAAGGCTAATAAGAGCGCCAGGAAGGATTCAAAAATGGCAAAACGTTAGGTCTTTAGCCCAATTAATAGAATAAAAAAGCCCACCCGGCCCCTCCTTCCCCAGCCGTTTTAGGGTTAATTCTTGTGAGTTACCAAAAAAAGTCCTGACATATTTAGCTATATGTCAACCATACACCAAGACAAGCCAAATATATAAATAAATTATCGTTAGCTATTTATTTTCCAATTATATTTCTTTATTATAATTTCCGGAACCATTCATGAATTCATTCTTTTCTATACATTCCATCCACCATTTTCTAGATAGTACAATACTAATTATACATTCCATCCACCATTTTCTAGATAGTATACAATACTAATTATACATTCCATCCACCATTTTCTAGATAGTACAATACTAATTTTTTTCCTCATTTTTCTAATGACATTGATGATTTTGAAAATAATAATAATATTAATCATAGAGCTCTGGGTATCCATGTTACAGAGGAACAATTACAAGTAAGAATTATTATTTCAAAATCAGAGCTTTTGCAACAAACTCTTCTTTTTTAAGTCCTATATCTTTGCAACCCGATGTAGGAGACCTTTGACATTTCAAACTTTGAATTGTGTAAGTTCAAATAGTCTAAGTTAGAAATATAAAAGGTCAGGTTGCAAAGATATAGGCATTCGAAAATTTGAGTTTGTGGCAATAACTTAATTCTAATTAACTCAATTTTGTAATTCAAGAACTAGAAGAAATTTATTTCCTGCGCTTGAATTGTTATTTCGTTTTATTTTCTAAATCAGCCGAAGTATGATTGATGAATGGACGATCATAAAAATGAAGAACAAGAAATATAGAAATCTTAAAATTATTTTACAGATAAAATATAAAAATTTTTAAAATATTGTAAATTAAAATTAAACTAGATTATTAAGTTAAAATTAAATTAATGAATCGCGAGAAAACGTTTAACTAAGAAAAGACGATTCTGATTTGAGCCAGTAAGCTTTTGAGTGATAGATGAACCGCCGTTAGGCAGTTCAGTGATCTCTGAATTCAATTGATAATGCTCCAAGGTTGTCCTAGCCGAAGCTGTGGAAGAGAATGGAGGAGTTGCAGGGGGGAATTTAGACTTTCCGGAGTTCCTTTCACTTCTTGGAAAGGTTTGTATAAGTATACAGAATCTCCTTTCACTTCTAGGAAAGGTTTGTATAAGTATACAGAATCTCCTTTCTCTTCTAGGAAAGGTTTTTATAAGTATACAGAATCTCCTTCCTCTTCTAGGAAAGGTTGGTATAGGTTTAAAGGCAACTACTCTCTTTTCTAGGAAAGGTTTGTATAGGTATACAGGCAGCTACTCTCTTTTCTAGGAAAGGAGGATATAAATTTATAAAAAATTCCTTTCTCTCTAATTATAAGAATAGGAACAATAGTTGTATCTTCTATGAAAATGTACAGTTTCTTTTACTTCTGGTAAAGTTAAATACAAGGATATGGAAAACCTCTTTCTATGATATAGAGAAGGTTATTCCAAGGATTTGAACAATTCTACCAGGAAAGTTTACTACAACGAATTTAAAACAATTTCTTTTTCTTCTAGGAAAGGTTAATACAAAAAAAAAAAATCTGCTCTCGATGTATCTGTATGGCTTCACGTGGGAGAGACACCTAGCGGACAAAAAATCGTCGTTTTAAGCGCATTGTATATCAAACAAATAAAAAATATTATGAAATAGCACTTATATAAGAATGCGTTGAATAAAATTCGATGATTATAGGTTGTAATATCTAAATGGTTTGTTTGGAATTAATTTGAATTATTTACGATCTGAGTCAAAAATTGCAATTTTCTAAATTTGTATGGACGCTACGTTCTTCGGTATGAGTCGAGTTAAACCATTTTCTCCTTATAGACGCAAAAGATAAAAGTAAGATTAGTAACGATCACCATCGAATTTTTTTCGACGTAAGCTATACCGCCTTTTATTTTTCGCGAACACTTTTTTTAAGTTGGAACAATTGTAAATAAAATTTCTTTATAAATTGAAGAATAAAGACGATATTCTTTCACAAATTTTGAGCTGTTGCTCTGGTTAAAATATTTTTACTTAGTTGGTGACTCACCAGGGAGGGGAGGATCATATCAAGGAGGCATTCAGGATATTTGATAAAGATGAAGACGGATACCTTACTGTGAGTATAAATCAATCAATCAAACAATTGATCAGTAGATCAATCATTTAGTTTATCAACTATCAATAATCAATTTATTAATCAGTTTCTGTTTAAAAAATTATTTTTAATCAATTCATTTTACTAATTAATTCGTATAGTTTTTAATTTTTGATTTGGTAAATTATGTGTTTGGTTTATTCACTCCTGTATGCCGAGTCCATTATCGCCTGATCCTATCAGGGTTCAACCATGTGTTTGGTGTCTATTCTGAACCAAAAGCAATTGCATGGCGGTAACATCTATCTTTCTATCTATCTCATTATCCAATTAGAGTTAAATCCTTATATCGACGCTATAACAGTAAATGGAAATATTTACTTCTACTGAAACTATATAGTGTATTGATCAATGGATTGTTTTATTAATTAATTACTTGATTAAATAGTTTGCCCTTGATTGGATATTGTCTTAATTGATTAATTTTTAAATTGGACTATTGCTTTTTTTGGTTAGTTGCTACAGTTAACAATTTCTTTATCAAAAGATAAATCGGTTAATTTATAGATATGTCCGATTCACAACGGTACCCTTAAAAGTTGTGTCTGGCGAAGCATGAATTAGATATCGATGTTTATAATTATTAAAAACTTATTTTCAAAAGTGGATTTTTTACAAAAGTGACTTGCATTTTTTACTGTAGAAAAATATAAATGAATTATAAGAATTGAACACTTTTAAAGCTAAAAACACGACCATATCTTCCGCCTCCATTGTCAGATAAAAATATCTCCAGGGTACCGTCGTGATTTCGACATTGCCATCTTTGAATTGGTCACTTGAAATTGCTAAAACAGTCCCTTTATATTGATTGATGAATTATTTGATTAGTTTGTTAAATAATAATAATTTACTGAGTTCTAGACTAATTGATTATAAAGTTAATTAATTGATCAATTAATTAATTAATTAATTGATCAATTGATTAATTGATCTATTGATTAATTGATTTATTGATTGTATTATCAATTAATTGATCTATTGATTAATTGACCTATTGATAAATATTTGATTGATTAATTGATTAGATTGCTGAGTTGACCAAGGTTATGACGACTATGGGGGAAAAGTTTACAGTAAAGGAAACCCAGGAGATGGTAAGTAAATAAATAAATAAATATAAATAAATATATAAATATCCAGATAAATAGGTAAATCAGTGATAATATAATAAAAAAACGTGATTAATTTATAAACAAAAAATGAATAAAAATTCAAAGGAATAAAGGAATAGAGAAATAAAGAAATAAGTGATTAATTAAAATATAAATTAATACATAAAGGAATAAATAATGAACAGAAATAAATAAATGAATAAACAAATAAATAAAGAAATGAATAATTAAAGAAATGAAAAAATATTTAGAAACAAACAAATAAATAGATATATGAATACGATAAGTAAAATATGAAAAACTGTGTAGATTTTTGGATGATAGGATAAGTTATTCTGGAAAGATTCTATGTCAAACTAAAATATCACAGGCAGCCGTAATGTAGTACATTTGAATTTCCAAGCCGGGTCAACCTTTCCGGTCCCAGTTTGTCTAGCTCTAAGGACAGAACTAGCCGGTGCAACAAGGTTGACGCAGTTAGACTTTATGCTTCATATAGGTTGAATTTACTTTTACCAAAGAAGCAGGGGTGCAGTTTGTACTGTTCCTAGCTCTAAGGACAGGACTAGCCGGTGCAACAAGGTTAACGCAGTCAGACTTTATGCTTTATATAGGTTGAATTTACTTTTACTAAAGGGGCAGATTTGAGTGATATTCTATAAATGCTAGAATTGTAAACATTAAACACATTTAAAGGAACAGTCACTGTAATTTCAAGGAACCCACCATTTAAACATGAACAGTCAATGTAATTTCAAGGAACCCACTATTTAAACAGGAACAGTCAATGTAATTTCAAGGAACCCACCATTTAAACAGGAACAGTCAACGTAATTTCAAGGAACCCACTATCTAAACAGGAACAGTCAATGTAATTTCAAGGAACCCACCATTTAAACAGGAACAGTCAATGTAATTTCAAGGAACCCACCATTAAAAATAATAACAGTCAATGTAATTTCAAGGAATCCACCATTTAAACAGGGACATGTCGGATTTACAACGCTTTAAATATTTATTTGACTAATACTGTGGAAGATATCGTCTTTTTTCTGGCTAGTGACTGATTCTTACATTGCTTCTTGATAATTATCGAGTTTTACTTTATCTTATTTTCTTGGACAAAGGTGCAGTACAGTTTACGATTGTCAATCCTGAAAATTACGTCTCTACACTCTACAGTTTCTTTAGTTGGATAAACAAAATTCTTTCTAAAAAGTGCACATTTATCAAAAAGAAATTGTGCAGAAAGACAGAATTGGAAATTAAATTAAATTTATAAAAATATAGATAAAAGTTGGAATAGAAATATAGATGAATACATAGAGATGGTTAAATAGATAGATAGAAGTATAGATAGATAAATAGAAGTATAGATAGATAGATAGATAGATGGAAAGATAGATAGACAGAGTTAGAGTTTAAATTACACCTTATGTCCAATATTGCTTTTTAGTTTCTACTATTCTTGCACTATAAGGATTTATTTATAACAATTTACTCGTAAAGGGTCTCATGTCGATTCACAACAGTATCCTTGTCTGATTCAGAATTCCTTTCAACTGTGGTTTATCTTTAATGTGATTTGCGAATTTCTACAATTCAGAAATTATTAGAATTAAACACTTTGACCAGAAATCTAGGTTTGTAACTGTTGTAAATTGGAAATGCCCCTCTTTAAAATATATATAGGTTCACTCAAGGTTCTAATGCAGGGAAAGTTAATTGCGGTCGCGTATACTCTGCGTACATATTGAAACCAGTTCTCTCTGGGCGGAATTTGTAAACAAGAATAGATAAAAACAATTAATTTTGATAATTTTGAAAATTCACATAATTATAGTTTCTTATAACCAGAATATGTTATAGATTATTTTTGTGAAAATGGATTCAATGTCAGCTTATTGACATCCGTCTTGTATTTACTTTTCCTCCTAAAGACAGTACACTGCAGTACAAAGAATGCGTACACCTCTGAAATAACTTTCCTTGCATTAGTACCTTGGGTTCACTTGCAGCTAATTCTACAGACAAAATGTTTGAGAACGAACAGAATTTCTCGTAAAAAAAGGGTGTTGTTCAGAAAAATACGAACGATGGATGAACGAATTATCGTTCAAAGAAATGAAAAAGTTATTGTTTTTTTATGAACGAACTATAAAAGCAAAAAATTAACAAATTAAAATTGTTCGAACGAACTTGAAAAAAACAATCGTTTTTTAACTAATTTTACAAAAGATTTTAGAAAACCTTTCGTTTTTTAACTGCACAAACGATTTTTAAACAAACTTTAGAAACAACGTTCGTTTGTTTTACGGAAAAAGAACAATACTTTTTTCAAAAAATTTTAGAAAAAACGATCGATGTTTAATTCTGAATGAACAATTTTATTGAACAAACGATTTCACAGAACGATCGTTCAGTGTAATGGATGGAAAACGACCGATAATTTTGAGAAAGAAAGAAATCAAATTTTTAAACGATTGAAAAAAAGGATGAAATGGGTCGTTCACAAACGATGAACAAACGAAATGAAAAAAGCCGAATGCGTCCATCTCTACACACTACACTCTCTTTAATATAAAATTATTTAGATAAAAGCAAATAATAAATATTCAGATAAAAGCTAATAATAAATATTTGACGTGGCTTTTGAGTTATCAATTAATCGTATTGCTCGTTTCTGTAAAATGTGAATTTGTTTCATTTCTGAACATTTGTTACATCCCCAGGCTGAAAAAGCTAATAATAAATATTAAGATAAAAGCTAATAATAAATATTCAGATAAAAGCTAATTATAAATATTCAGATAAAAGCTAATAATAAATATTCAGATAAAAGCTAATAATAAATATTCAGATAAAAGCTAATAATAAATATTCAGAAAAAGCTAATAATAAATATTCAGATAAAAGCTAATAACAAATATTCAGATAAAAGCTAATAATAAATATTCAGATAAAAGCTAATAATAAATATTCAGATAAAAGCTAACAATAAATATTTAGATAAAAGCTAATAATAAATATTCAGATAAAAGCTAATAAATATTCAGATAAAAGCTAATAATAAATATTCAGATAAAGCTAATAATAAATAATAAGATAAAGCTAATAATAAATATTCAGATCAAAGCTAATAATAGATATTCAGATAAAAGCTAATAATAAATATTAAGATAAAAGCTAATAATAAATATTCAGATAAAAGCTAATAATAAATATTCAGATACAAGCTAATAATAAATATTCAGATAAAAGCTAATAATAAATACTCAGATAAAAGCTAGTGCCGATGAGAACGGTTTGATTGATTACGCATCATTCTCTAAACTGCTGAGTGGTGGAGCTCCTTCAACATCACATTAATCTCACCAGAAGTCACAGATTAGGTAGACAAGGATGTATTGTTGACACGGACTGTCCTGTCCATGTAGCACGAACAAGATTTACTTATTATACAGCTGCATACAGCTGTATATTTCGAGTTAATCAATCAATCAAGGTGTATATTTTGAGGTTATTATATATGTTATACACATCATTGTTTGATTATATAGTGTTTATAATGACGCTGAGACGGGAGCGTGGCTAAAACTTGGTGTCAGTTATTATGGAAATATAACTATTTTTTATTTCCATTGTAATTTTGTTGCGGCATTGAGAATTTTCAAAAGACACGTACCAACTTGTCAGACGCCTGGTACGCGGCAGCCCCGCATCCTGTGTCTACCTGATACGTGCTATAAGAAGATTCAATTAGTGTACTCTCGGTTTTGCATCTATTGTCTGTACATGATCCGGTACTTCAAATGAATCGGAATGGAATCGAGTATTTGCCACAAAATCAAATGTACTAATTCCTATATCTTTGCAGTCTGATGGTGTAAACCTTTGATATTTCATAATATTTGATCCAACAAAACAATGGGGTGCAAAAACAATGGATTAGAAAATCAGAGTTTGTGGCAAAGACTCAAAAATACATTCTTCCTTTGATCCTAACAAGGCTTGAAAAATAAGGATGTTTTAATTGTTTTCTAAATATATAAAGTAAAAACTTAAAAGTATAAAAAATCAAGCAAAATGTCACATTTTTCAAAATGATTTTTAACACAACATAAATTTATTTTTGCCTCCAGTCGTTTTTAAAGTTAAAGAGAAATACAAAAACCGGATTTTCAGTTGATTGTATCGTCATTATCAATGTTAATTTTTGCTATTCTTCAAATCTTAAAGTAATTGACTGCAAATCTTTTAATTTGTTTGTAAAAAGAATGTATCTGTTTTTTGATCATAAATATATCTCTATTTATTAAAATTAATATCATCATTATTTATCGCCAACAAATACATGAAGAACTTAATTCAACAAAAGTTTTTTTTTCATTGGTTTTGAATTTCTGTAAAAAAGACAGTTAATTTTATAGTCTTTCTGATTTACAGTCGTCGTCAATGCAATTAAGACGACTTTATATTTTGATTTAGATTTCTACAAAGCTTGGACACACATAAACATGGATACAAATAGAAGCGTCTATTAACAGATTCGCTTAATGTTCACATGGTAGTTTGAACAAGGCATTGAGAAATCAAAACCTAAATAGAAGCGTCTATTAACAGATTCGCTTAATGTTCACATGGTAGTTTGAACAAGGCATTGAGAAATCAAAACATAAATAGAAGCGTCTATTATTCGCTTAATGTTCACATGGTAGTTTGAACAAGGCATTGAGAAATCAAAACATAAATAGAAGCGTCTATTAACACATTCGCTTAATGTTCAAATAATAGTTTGAACAAAGCATTGAGAAATCAAAACATAAATAGACAAATCGTCTTCATTGTTTTGATATTAACGCCAACCCATGTATTAAATATTGAATTTACCATTTAATAATACTAGAATTAATGGTGAAATTTCACGGATGTGCAATAGCTTCAAATCCAATGAAAGCATATTATAGGATTAAAAATTTATTTACGAATTTTGATTAATGCATAATTTGAACACAGAACTTTGACAGCATTGTGATGATTGGAAGCGCATACATTCAAGAATCTGGAAGAAAATTTATACAGTGAGACCCATAAAATCGTGGAATAGGTTGATGGCAGTTCAGCACCCTTGTAGTTAGATCCAATAAACTCTAGACGGCTTTAAGAGAAAAGCTTTAACAAAAAAAACAAGAATTGTTGAGTTACAGTTTTGAAATAAAATATTATTTTTAAATCTTTTTTTCACACAAAAGAATTAGGATTTAATGGACAAATATTATTCCTGGTACAATGCAGAGAGATTGCAGGGATCTCTTTTCAGATAAAAACAAATTTAAAAATTTGGATTCTATTTACATCGATTAATACCTCGTTTTTCCAGACAATTCAAAATCAAAAAGTGTTTTAGCACTTTATTCTAGGAATATTGAAATTGTGTCATAAGCAATTTAAAAATAACATGTTCAGAAACTGTCCCCGGAACTTATTCTTAAAATTGAAATGATAATTTATTTTAAACAGTATTAAAATCAAGAATTTCAATTTGACAACGACCTTTAACTCTCTAATTGTGAAATTGCTTAAACTGTATAATTATTTAATCTAAATTGAACAACAAACTTTGCACTTTTAACTATCATCCTTTATGGAGAAATTAAACCAAATAATTAATTAGGATTTCTTAGAATTAGCGTTCGTTCTAGGTATCTTTGTGTATAAAAATTGAACGATAAAATTGGGAAATAATGGCTTTTTAATGCTTTTATTTTTGTTTACCAAGATTTCAGTGCTTTAGTTTTTCACAGGTGATCTTGGGAACTTTCTGCTCCACGGGTTCACAAACCTGAAAAATGTAAAGAAATCTTAAATCTGACATCTTGTTTATAAATTTTACAGCTTCGGCTAATCAAGCTGATCAACCAACCAAATACATCAATTCATAAAATACATATACATCAATCAATCAAACACATCAACTGATCAAACACATCATCTAATCAAACACATCAAAAAATCAAACACATCAGCCAATCAAACAAATCAACTGATCAAATACATCAACTAATCAGCTGATCAAACACATCAACTAATCAAATAAATCAGCTGATCAAACACATTAACTGATAAAATACATCAACTGATCAAACACATCAACTGATCAAACACATCAACGAATCAAATAAATCAGCTGATCAAACACACCAACTGATCAAGCACATTAACTGATAAAATACATCAACTGATCAAACACATCAACTGATCAAACACATCAACTAATCAAATAAATAATCTGATCAAACAAATCAATTGAACGAATAAAACTACTGATCTTTCACATAATTCTACTAATTTTCTACTGATAAATACCTCAACTGGAGTGCTGACACATATCTCTACTTCCTTCTCTACAGGTGTGCTGACCGGAACCTGCTTACACACTTCCTTAGTCGCCTTCTCACATTCAGGGCTCTCATATCCGGATGCTTCGCGCTTCCGGTAGTGACCTTGAAACAAAATTCATAAGCATATCTGGGCCTTACTAGAAAATTATTGTTTAATATTTAGCTGGAATGTACTGCAGAATACAGCACTATGTTTACAATCCCGATTAAGTGCCTTTCTAACAATCTATACTATTATTCAAATATCTACATTTAATCACCCCAAGATATACGATTACGATTCTCTATAAACAAGATGTACAGTGTTAGATAAGTAAACATATCTTGATGTACACAATCGACCACCCTATTAATTTTTCTATGTGGTGGTTGGGGTCCGTTGTGTACATCTAAAGGGATTATGAGATAAGCTTTAACTCTTTATATGCTCTATTTTCATAAAAATCAAACTGTTGTGTATTCTTGAACTTCTACGGTAGGACTCATAAAACTATGGAGTTGGAAGACGACTTTTAGACTTAAATATGAACTGAAATAGTCCAATGAACAAGGAACACAGCAATTTTACAGTTTACCCACACCCAAATACACATAATATAGCTTAGATCGTCTTTCTATTACGGAGATTAATATGAGATTTCTTTTTACAAAAATAGTAATAAACAATATGACATTTCTCATCCCGGTGTTTTATAAATCATATTATTAAAATAACAAAAATAAATCTGTTTTTATGAACAATAATCACAAAATAGCCCTGGTCCGGCCATTTCCAAACTGTGGTCTGCCATTTTTCGAGTTTAAAAATACCTTGTTTAAATTTTAATTTATTAAATAAACCATGACAATTCTGAACGAAATCATTCATATCTCCGGTAATCGCAATTAAGAACGCAAAAAAAATGGCGAACACATAATGGAAATATATCCAAATTATTTTTTATTGTTTTTTGGTTTTTATTTATATATCTGCAGCTGCTTTTATGTTTACTTACCTTCATTTACACGAAAGCTAAATAAGCAAATTGCTTGATTAGTATTATTAATTCCTTTTAAGTTTCATATTAAAAGAAATATTTTAATTTTATTAATATTTAACAACGCTGAATAATGCCGAATTTACAGAAAAAGGGAGAGATTAAATTACATAGATAAATAAATAAACATGTTAAAATATCTCAAAATATGACAGAAGCAAAACGATTTAAACGTCGTCTTTATTTTTGATATGACTATCTGAATTTATTTGTCAACCTGATATTTTAGAAGTAAACTTACAGAGTTAATAATTACAAAATGCCCCTATAGTTTGGAATTTCCAAAATGTGATCCGCTTGGTTGTGCTTTTAATATTAACCGAGATATGAGGAATTTCGTTCAGATTTCGAAAATTTTTGGTTTCATTTAACAAAGTTGAAATCTGATCGATATTCTTAATATCTAGGGTAATATTGACAGCACAAAAAAGGCAGACCACATTTTGGAAATGCCAGGACTAGGAGAATTTTGTGGGTATTGTTTCAAGAATCATATATGTTAAAGTAGGTTGATGACTTAATGTCACAAATAAATTTCAAGATTAAAGACGACATTCAAGTCGTCTTACTACTGTCATGTTGATTGAGACACCTACCTAGTCTAGGAACAAAGTGTACTGGTGTACAAATCTCCACCTCTTCACATTCTCCCTTCTCGTACTTCACATGATCTCCAATGACCTAATTAAAAAAGACGACTTTTCATGTCTAATTCAGATTCTTTACAGTTACAAAGTCTAATGATTATTCAGTTACTGACACATTATACTAAATCCATCTTATAATCACTCATGAACCAACTTTGTGATATTTCAAGATGCAATACTCTGTCAAATTCGTCAAAAATTTTATTGTAAAACAGTTTAAGAATTCAACACTCAAAATATTAATCTTAAGTAGAATTGAAAAAAAAGGTTTGAGTTGTGCTTTTTTTCATGACGAGGCTGGATTTTTTAAAATCACACTTTAAAGGCCCTAACTATACCATTTAAAAAATTAGTTTTGCCCGAAAGAGTCAAATGTGGTGGCACGGAAGGGGAAATAGTGGTGGCTCATGGCCGCCTGCCTTCCCCCGCTCGTATAATAGATGGTAACGCACAATCTAAAGGGTGTCCCACGAATCATGACAGTTGGTGAATAGTTTTTATTGTCTTCTTCCATATCAAGTATAATATATCAAAGACTTTTTGCAGTTTATTTTGCTAAATAATCTTTTACTCAATTATATTTTGTTTTGAAATCAACTTTATTATAATAATACTACCAAGCGATGTTTTTTCTTATTCTCTTTGGTATTAAAGAACTTAAATAATTATGAAAGAAGACATTTAAAACTATTCACCAACTGTCATGTTTCCTGGGAGACCCTGTATTTGATCAAAAGGTTTTAAAAATAAATAAAATGTGACATTTAAACTCACTTTTGTTTCTGTTGTGCATTCCTTGTTGTAATCCAGTTTACATAGTGTAGCAGATATGGTCACCAATTCCTTGGTACAATGCGGGCCCCTAGAATGAGAAAAATTAATGATGTGTCCACTGCAACTTACAGGGTGTCCTAAATCGTCTTTGCAAAGGATTTGCGTTGCACTACATGCAGGGTTTCCCTCAAAAGATGAGACTATAAAGACAACCCAAAATATGACGGTTTTAAGCTTGAACTTTGGTTAATGCATTCAATTGAGTATTATGTTGGATTTCTAAATGACTACGCTGAGAAATTAGCTAGTTTTAACCTACAAGGAACCCCAAATGCAAGAAAGCGGATTAAACAAATTCCGTACAATCGTAAACGATAAAAGGCTGTTTTGTTATGTGTGTTTAATATTTCTGCAGGATAATCTCAATCTCTTGAATTAATTTTAGAGAGTTGATATTATGAACTTTATCTCTGAGATATTTAAATTTGGCGCCTTGCAAATTCAAGTAACCGCTAGGGGATCAGAAGGCGCTAGTATTGGCTTTGGCAGCAATTTTCAATTGCTAGTTGCCGAACAAACTGTACTGTGTTTAAGTAAACAGGAATTTTACTTAGCACTACTAAATGCAGACAAAACATAAATAAAGTCATAGCAGATTAAATATCTACAGCTTGCCTTTCCTAGTACAGGGTGTCCCCCGAAACATGACTGATGGTAAATAGTTTAAAATGTCTTCTTCCATAATAAGTTATTTGATACAAAAGAAAATGATAAACAAAATATTCAATGACAGTTATTGTACAGCTATAAAGTTGGATTTCAAAGTTAAACATATTTGTGTAAAAGATTTTTGCAACTAAATAAACTGAAAAAAAGTCTTTAATGTCTATAATACAGTATATGGAAGAAAACATTTAAAACTATTCACCAACTGTCATGATTCATGGGACAACCTGTATATCACCAATAAATCAAAGAAGGCAGTTACAAAGACGAATAAAAAATCGTCACATACGCATGCCACGTTGAATTACAAGACGGAGAGAGAGACCCAAGGAAGTTACGTACGCATGCCGCGTTGTATTACAGGACTGAGATAGATCCTGTTCTAGCCGCGGTTCTTCCAGGCTTCCTAGCCTGTCCTATCCGCGGCTCTCAGCCCCATAGAAGGTCCTAGCCGCAGCGCTCGGCCCCGAAAATGGCTTCCTAGCATAACACTAAAATGTATGCTATTCTCTCTCTTTCTTGTATATTCAACGCGGCTAGCGAAAATAACTTCCTTGGACAACTACCTGAATTCATTGGGACAACCGGTACATTTAAAAATAAACTGTTTAGAGCAGTATAGAGTATAGTCGTAATCTCAAGTGACTGTAAATTGTAATTAACTGATTCTCAATTGCTGAAATGTTCTCTGATTCACTGTTAAAATTTAATTTAATTTAAATAATCAATTCAAAGTATTAAAGCAAAAAATGCACTAGAGGAATTCTAAACTTTAAAATTACATCAAAGTTATTTCAACAATAATGAAATTTGTTTACTACAGTTTAACCAAGAACTTTGGAAATATCGGAAGAATTTATAAAATGTCGTCTTGACAATTTTTCAATAGGTTTAATACTAATATACCTAAACCTCAGTAATTAAAAGTAAATAAATAGCCATGAATTATGTGGGAGCAGTTTTAAAGAGCTCCATGTAATTATTCAATAAAACTAAATATCTGCAATATTCAGTTTTCAGTAGCTGTTAGACAACATTTTAAAAATTCTTCTGATGGCTCCGAAGTTCTCGGTTAAACTGTAGGACACCATTTATCGTTTTTTGCTGGATATTGAAAAATTCGAACTATCCATAAACCTTTCCTTGGGTCTTATGAGGTCCCACACAAAATTTGGGCCCGATCGGTTCAACAGTTTTGAAGTTTATTGGATACAAACAATCAGACAAACAGACAGACAAGCAAAGTATATATATATATATATAGATTACCCATGGTGTGGAATATACCCATAAGGTTCAGCTGCCACCAGGCCGATCAACACAAACAAACAAACAACAAAAACCTGAAATTATTTAATTTTATAAAATAATCCCTTGACCCACCATCCTCTCTCTTTTTCAGAAAAGTAGCAACCTACCGTGACTAGCTCCAGGGTTAATCACAAAGGATGAGACTTCAGAGACGACTGTACGGAATTTACATTGTCTGTTTCCTTATATTCATGATTCCCGTCAACTATAAAATAAACTTCTCTCTTTCTTTGGCAAATCATTAAATAAGCCATGTAAAAACGACATTCAAGGCTTAATACAAACTTGGGTCGTCATATTTAAAAAATCTCACATCGTCTTTACAGTCTCATCTTTTTGGGTAACCCTGTAAATTAATCTTACCTCACCTACAGGAATCAAATAATCAGGGGAGGTTGTTCTATTTCAGAATATATAGTTTTTACAATACAAAATATATGGTTTTTCAATACAAAATATATAGTTTTTACAATACAAAATATATAGTTTTTACAATACAAAATATATAGTTTTTACAATAAAAATATAAAGTTTTTACAATACAAAATATACAGTTTTTGCATTAAAAAATATATAGTTTTTGCAATACAAAATATATAGTTTTTACAATACAAAATATATAGTTTTTACAATACAAAATATATAGTTTTTACAATACAAAATATATAGTTTTTCAATACAAAATATATAGTATTTGCAATACAAAATATATAGTTTTTACAGGAAATAAATATTTCCTGATTTGACGGTAATATTAAAGTATATACAGGGAAACCCACGAAGATTTACGCTGTAATGACGACCTAAATATTTTAAAATACAGTGAGACCCATCAAATGGTGGAATATGAAGAGTACTCTAATTTGTGGTGTTAAATTAAGTCGAATGAACATTGAACACAACAATTGTATAGTGTAAACAGACTCATTTTCTGATTTCCAAGCTAAAACTGTTAATATTACTTCCTTTTTGTAACATTATATAGCATTTAAAGGGACTGTAAGCGCAATTTTAAGTGACCCTCCATGTAAAGAAGGCAGTGCCCGATTTACAACGGTACCCTTGAAACCTTTATTTGATCGAAAATGAGGAAAATATTGTCGTTTTCTGACTTAAAAGTGTTTATTTGTGATAATTTCTCCATTTTCCAGAAAACATTCAATTTCGCAAACAAACATGAAGATCTTAAAGAAATAAAAACATGGTTATCTTTTAATGCTTGATCAAACCAGACCAGACAATACTTTTAAGGCATAAAGTAAATAAACGTCATAAAAAAAATAATATGTTTTCAGACGCAGCCAACCATGAAGGATTTGAATCTTTGCCACAAACTTTAATCCCTTTATCTTTGCATCCCAATGTAGTAAACATTTGATATTTCAAACTATGGATTTTGTTAGATCAATAATCAAAGGTTGAAATATCAAAGGTTTACATAATCTGGTTGCAAAAATATAGGTAGTAGAAGTTTTGAGTTTGTGATAAAGTGTTGAAGAAATAAACAAGAAAACAGTAAATACATCCGGCCCTGTAGTTTAATCCCTTGTGGGTATTCCTGTAATCTAGTTGCTTGAAAATTACTCAACCAACTGCACCAGGAATTTGGATTTTATTGAATATTAGCTTAAGTGCCCGGCGTTGCCCGTGGAATTTAAAAAAGAAAAAAATTTCAATTTTTTTATATACCCCTGGGTTCTCTCAAAAAATGTCAGCCCATTCGGTCCAGCCGTTTGGCTGGCTATAGGGAACATGTTTATCAATGTCTTGAGTTAACATTTAAATATATAAAAGAAAAATAAGCACATTGATGACCTTTTACCTTCTAAGCCTGTCCATTGATGACCTTTTAGCTTCTAAGCCTGTTCATTGATGCAATATTTACACTTTTTTACGTCAAAGAGGAAAATCAGGTTTCTCTTAAATTCTTTTAAATGTTAAAATTCAAGAAAAATTTTCAACGTTTATAGTGAGACTCGTAAAACAATATTAAAGTGTATTCCATGTTGTAATAAAGCAATAACGTTTAACAGTAGCCAAAAATTAAACTTACAATAAAGTATAAAATGGGTCTACGTGTGTACTGAAAAATTACTTTGTTTCATAGTCCATGGATGTCAAACAAG